GATTTGGAGATGCTCGCTAGTACCCTGAAAGGAATTATCACAGTGGTCTTGTAGTGTGAATAAGCTGGCAAAAAGAAGGGTTACATTTTCCTTTTGGATCCACATATTCTCTAAATGTGGATTCCCAATTCCTTACACAAAATATGACCATTATAACTAGCTGTTATAAATTCCATAAATTTTCAATATTTACTGGGAAGAAAATAATCTTGAATTTAAGGGAGAATAGAATAGAGGTATTAGCACAACTAGTAAGCTGGATATATGCAAATAGCCCCGAGATCCAATGGTGTGCCGGAAATGTATTTGTCCAAGACAAAGGGCTTAGAAAGTTATTAGAGACTATTTAATGAGCTTAAAAGATGTTATTTCCCTGATAAAATATAGTATATAGGAGAAATTAAACAACCTTTAAAAAAAGTCAATGCATAAGCATTTACAAGGTAGAAAACATCTTTTTTACTGATACTCTGTAATTTCTTAATGACTATGCATAAACTATATGGCATCTTTTTTAATTCATTTACTCATTCCAATAGCTGATATTTATCTAGTGTCTAGTGAATCCAGAGCTTAGTGACTGCAACTTTCATTAAGTACCTGCTATGTGTCAAGATCACTGTGATAATTCCTTTCAGGGTACTAGCGAGCATCTCCAAATCAATCAAAGTAAGTAGTTTCCTTGGTACAGGTCTACCTGATCTCCTCTGAATAGGGCTTCCCAGGCTTGGGACAAATCCAAATTCTATTATGTGCATGAATCACTGCTAAGACACAGGGGCAACTACAACCCCTGTCCCCACTGGTGGACCTTACTTTGTTGGGAAGGATGCTCACATTTTTCCACATCTGATAAAAAATCATCTTTTCTGCCTACTCATTCTGACACTGGATAAAATGACAGTGTCATACACAGAGAACAGAACACTCTTTTGGTTGCTTCAACATTCTTTTTTTGGCCTCATTTTCTTCTCTCTACTGAGATTTTGAGTCCAAATTTAGTGGGGATGACTAAGAATTTACCAGGGTACGACAGAGCATTCAGTTCATTGAGTCCTTCCTTGCTATTTTCCAATAGTTGTACCAATTGCCAAGTTTTCCTTCTAACATTGTAGGTGCCATGTCATTCATAACAGATACTAAATCACCCATGCAGGATCTGTCTGTGCAGTGACAGCCTCCTTCGACATACTGCTGATTTTATTCTATGGTATTAAGGAAATTCCCTGCAGACATTTTACTGGTTTGTACTGCTGAGTTTTAGAATTTCAAACATTTAAGTATGAATCACTTAAATCTAAATTCTGTGAACAACAATCAAGTGATCTAATAAGTATTCTGCCATGAGGTAGGCAATATGACCTTTAATTTCTGAGGGGGGAAAATGATTTGGAAATAAGTGAGATGAGTTTCTATCCATCTGGAGCTAGTCATATGTGTGTATCACAGGATCATGCTAGTGATGGAGATAGAATTTATAGGTGCACAGATAGGTATATAATCCATTCTGATTGGGAGAAATCCCATGTTATTCCAGAAGTAATTGCAATTGATGTACGCCTGGAGAGATGAGAGAAAAGCCAGGAAAATGACATCGTAGACAAAGGAAATGAATCGCATCTAGAAAGGCTCGTATGGTTCTGTGGTGGCAGTTGATACTGGAAGGCATGGTAATGACTGACGAATGGGAGATTTTAAATGCCACATCAAGTTATTTGTTACTTTTATATAGGCAAGGTGAATTCATCAAAAGTTCTTGAGGGAAAGAGCTTTGCTTTCAGGAGGTAAATCTACCAGCAGAGGAGGAAAGAGAAGTGTATTGGTCAGCTTTCTGTTTGTGGAAAAAATAACGGACACTCACAGCTTAAAGGGGGAGAGGTTTATTTTTGACTTACAGTTTTTTTTTATTTTAAAGAGAATAAAAAAAAACTAATAATAATGTTCCAGAATTCCAAACCAAGATGACAGGAAATTAACAATAGTTGTTACACTGCATATTGTTATCTTCAGAGTAGTTATTCAGATTACCAGATATAGGCATGTGAAATTGGTTAACCAATTAGGCGTTAACTGTTCCTTTCAATAAACCAATTGAAATTAGTAGTACGTTTTTCTTAGTTATCTTCTGTGTGCATATATATATATATATGTATGTGTGTATATATATATATATATATATATATATATATATATATATATATATAGTTACTCTTTCCTTTTGAGCAGTTTCTTTCCCTTTCACAATATCGGTTATACCTTAGGGATTTTATTTATGCTTTCAGTTTCTTACACTAGGGAAACAATATGATGTTTATGCATGCAGGTCTGATGGATGCAGCTAGAGACCATACGCATAAATGTCTCACAGTTTTAAAGGTTTCCATCCATGCTTTGTCTGCTGGCTCTGAGGAAGAAACAGCACGGAGGAGGAAAGTCACTGAACTCTTGGCAGCCATGAAGCAAAGATCAGGGGGGAAGCCATAGAGGAAGGGGCCACATTTCCTAATAGCCTACTCACCTATGAAATGGCCATTGGGTTAACCCAGTGACAAGGTTCGTGCCCTCACGACCCAACCACCTCTCCAGGAGTCTCGTAATCCAGTCAGGTTGACAGTAAAGATGAACCAGCACAACCAGTAGGAGGTTCTTACAGGAGATAGACCAGCAAAGAAGGAATAAAGACACAAACTAGTGCAGTGGTGATAAGAATGGAAGGTGATGGTCATGGATCGTGGACTATAGAGCATATGAGTGAATGAATGTGAAGATCCTCGTACGATGGACTGCAGTTTCCTAGAGAGGGAATGCAGGGAAGTAGAGGGTAGAGAAAGTATGGATCTGTGCCTCAGTATTACTCTTTCCTTTTTATCTCTTGTGAATTCCTACCTGTCTTCTGAATCACAACTGAAATGACATACCCCCAGTCAGAATTGAGTCTGACTTCCTCTGTTCTCATATGGTAACTCTTTTATTCCTCCCTTTCTGTGTGGATGGTAGCCATCTTATGTTCAGGTTATCTGGGTCCTGCAGATATTTAGCAAGCTGTCTGAGTGTATGTACTACAAACCTATGAATTTTTAGCACCACCTGAGGATATAATGGACCAATAGAAAATGTGTATGAAATAAATGAATGCTGCTATCATACTAGACAGTAAATGCAGTCCTTTTTTGGGACATGCCTTAGCAAATACTGTGATCCCATCTCTTCATTCTGTGCTCAGTCATGTATTATTTTTCTGACCAAATGGTATCACCAGCCTTGGTAATATGTATTATTCAACAGATTTATTTTGCAGTGCTTTCTGACACTTTCTGCATGTAAAATGTACTGTTCAAAGATGATTTTTTTTTCTCAAATGATGATTTGATCCCCAAAGAACTTCAGCAAAATTCTGTGCACTTGTCCTCACCACTAGAGGAAATGTGGAGACTGTTAGTCATATTTCCTTATAAGCATACCTTGGCTTTTCCAACGTCAAGACATCCTACAAAGAAGAGTTTTCACAGCCCATAAATAGAACTCTTTAGTTCCAACCATGTGATAGTTGCCCTAGAAGTACATTGCTTCTTGAGTAAGCTGAATTTGTGGAATCCTCTGAGAATCTGTAAAGTGTGCACCCAGTCAGAAATAACCCCCAAAGAAACTCCAGTGCACGTACCCTTGAGGCCAAATGGGGGAATCAGTCAGATTGTTGAGAAAAATAGAGTTTTTAGCTTCTAACAAAAGAAGAAAATTGATTTAACTTCTAGAGAAATGCCAAAGAACGTATCTCTCTTTATGCAAGTGACTTAGAGTACTTCAGATGTTGTTGTTCAGCTAGTAAGCGTTGGTTAGCAAGATCTCCACTATGAAAATGAAGGAAGATGAGACCATGGAGATACTGTGCACAAATGACTGATGGCTTACAGTAAGTTTAAAAAAAAACTCAGATGATATTATCAACGGTCATTCTTGATAACATCCAAGCAAATTATCAAACCTTCGGCACGTCACCATTGTTTTTGTCATGGGTAGCTCAGTTAGCATTTTTAGCATTTTCCTCATTCTCTTCCAGTCCAGGTAGACCCTCTGCTACTCTGTGGATTGCTTATAGATTAAAATCTGCTCATTTCATTTGGCTTAGAATTGTTACTGCCTACACGCAAACACACACACGCATGCATGCATGCACGCATGCGCATACATACACACTAAAAATAAGGTTTTCCAAATTTCCCTGAAACGGTCAAGGTTTGGTGAGGAGCCCTTCATTTGTATGACCCAATCCAAAGGAAACATGCCTAAGTACATGGAAGAAAATCATATTCCATGGTGCAAAGCCTCCCAGGTTGTTCTCTCATGTCTACTTCTAGAATTTCCTTAAACTCCTTGCTTTATATTGACTTGCTTGTAAGTGTTACTGTAAGGCAATCAGAGGTGTGGGAGGTTCTTTTTTTAAATCAAGGTCCAGTGTTCTAAAAAATCAATTTGGTTTACCTTAAAGTAGAAAGTAGTCCCTTTGTACCATCCTTTCAAAAATATAGCCAGACAGTATTGTAACACTGGTCTTAGTTTCAGATAACTGATAACCATGCTATAGAATATCTTGAGAATCCACAGAAATTAATTACAATGACTGAATGCTTATTTTCTTATTTATCCTTGAAGGGAATGGATTTCCATATGAGAGCTTTATGCTTGCCTCTTTGGTTCTTGTCTCTCATATTTGTCCAATATATTATACTTGTGTGGCTAGTTCTTAAGTTCTCATTACCTATTACAGAGTGGTAATCATTTATCAGTAATACTTAGTGCTTTTCCAAAAGCACCATATGAAATGTATTATATACTCTGCTGGTTTACAGTGATAATACTTTATGCTATTAGAATACATTACCAGTCATAGAAAGTATGACTTTACAAAGTATGTCCTAAACTCCTGAAAGGCATTTAAAGTTGTTCTATATGAACTTCATAACTATAAACATTGAGCTTTTGTTTATTTACTTTTGTTGCAGGAACATTTCACACCTGAGTGCAAATTCAAAGAATCAGTGTTTGAAAATTATTACGTGACATATTCATCAATGATATATCGTCAGCAGCAGTCAGGCCGAGGGTGGTATCTGGGTCTGAACAAAGAAGGAGAGATCATGAAAGGCAACCATGTGAAGAAAAACAAGCCTGCAGCCCATTTTCTGCCCAAACCACTGAAAGGTAAATTTGATATTGTTGGAATTATGGATGACTGTACCAAAAAGTTAATTTAAATCAATCCTTTATCACACTTTTGAAAGTGAAGAATAATTCTTCCACATTTAAGCATTTATACAAAAATTTGCAAACATTTACTGTACTCAAAAACAACAAATAGATTACAGTCAGGTAATAAAAATCATAAAAATGTGAAACCCTTGACAAGAGAATTTATTCTCCTGATTTGAATTTTTTTGTTGTTCATCTACATAACAGCAACACTTTACTTCGGTGAAAGTAACCAAATCACTAACTCAGATAGCTAAGAACCCCAAATTATGCAAAAAATTAGTATACAGGAAGAAACATAAAATGTGCACACACCTGACTCTTTATTGGAAAGCCCCTTGGGCCCCAACAATAGGGTCCCAAGAATTTTGACTACTAGTTATTACTACTAGATGAAAAGCAAATTAGAAAGGTGGAAGATAAACTCTGGAAGACAGGAAGATTTGCAGTATTGAGAAGTGAAAGAAAATTCAGGCAATGTGGAAGAAGCCTTTACAAAGGTTACCCAGCCGGTGGTCAGAATAGAAGTTGAAAGTAAGGGCAGAATGCCTTCCCCCTATCAAAATCAGCATAGCACTGTTTTACAACTCAGTTTCTCGAAACAGACTATGTGAGTTTCAGCCCCAGTTTCACCTTTCATTAACTGAGTAGTTTTAAAAACATTACTCACTTGTGTGTGCATGAAGTTCATCTATAAAGTATGAGTAGGATTACTTATGTCATCGTCTTCTTACCTGGATTAAATACGGTAATGCAAGTGGAGAATTTACAACAACATCTACTGTCTTAATAGTGCTTCATGAATATAACAATAATAAATATTACTGTTTGTTAAATAATTATGCTAACATTTAGACTCTTGAAGAGTTTTGTTTTAAATTGTGATAGAAATCAGGGTTTTAAAATGTTTTAACTTTAATATTTGGCTCACACAGTATGTGGTATGTAGATCATATTTGAACTTCTAAGAGCTCTATTAAATACATTTTTCATTAATCCTCTCATATATAACTATAAGGAATAAAAGTTAGCCATTAAAATTCTTCATACACTAGTGTACCAAGACTAGATTTTGCTTAATTTGATCTCAGCCATTCTCGCAGAGTTTTCATGACTGACTTGAGGCATTGAGGCCTAGGAACCAGAAGAAAAGTTGAAGACCGGTGTGATGTGCCTAGTTTTTTTTAAAAAATATTTTTCTTATTTTCTCTTTTTTTACTTTTTTAGTTAACTTCTTATTGACAAATAAAATTTGTATACATTTTTCATGTATTGATATTATATATTATGTATATGAGAGACAGAAAAATTGAAGTAATTAGTATGTGCATTGCCTGGACTATGTTTGCAGTGAGAGCACTTGAAATCAGTTCTTTTAGCAGTTTTCAACCTGTTGGAAAGGCTTCATACTGTCTGTATGTGCTTTTCAGTGGCCATGTACAAGGAGCCTTCACTGCATGATCTTACGGAGTTCTCCCGATCTGGAAGTGGGACCCCGACCAAGAGCAGAAGCGTCTCCGGCGTGCTGAACGGAGGCAAATCCATGAGCCACAATGAATCAACGTAGCCAGTGAGGGCAAAACAAGGGCTCTATAACAGAACCTTACCTCCAGGTGCTGTTGAATTCTTCTAGCAGTCCTTCACCCAAAAGTTCAAATTTGTCGGTGAGGTGTATCAAACAAAACAGGCAGTGCTCACTCTTTGATCTGCCAATGGAACTTGTTCTCATCCATATTAAAGCCCCATAATTTTGATCAAGCTTGTGCAAAAGAATGCAAAGCATTATCAATGAACTCAATCTGGGAGAAGGACTGCCAAATTTTCTCATGATCTCACCTATACTTGGGGGATGATTAACCAAAAATAGTTCACAGCACTAATGCTGATCAAAATTTGCTCTCCAACCATGAAAATTTAAAAGACCATAATTGTTCTTCAAAAACAGAAAAAAAAAAAACTAAATTAACTGCTTAAATGTTTTGTAGGGGCAAACACAATTATGTGAACTGTGTTGTTTTCTTGGCTTAATGTTTTCTATCTAGGCTTGATTCAGATGTATGCTTTCCTTTCATATAGTGCAACTTTATGATTTCTGGAATTCAATGGTTCTATTGACTCTGTGTCACTTAATCCAAATCAACCAAATTCAGGGTTGAATCTGAATTGGCATCTCAGGCTCAAGGTAATGGTGTTCTTGTGATTCTACCTTTTTTTTTTTAGATTTGTAGTATTCTGGTTGAGTTCTTGTGCTGTACTTTGTGCGTAGGAATTGAGTTATATTGTCAACCCCAGTCAGTAAAGATAACTTTGAAAAAGATTATCCTCAATTGTAGATTTCTCTTAATTCCATTTGTGTATCATGTTAAACTATTGTTGTGGCTTCTTGTATAAAAAGATAGGAACTGTGGAGCTGTGATGTTGTCTTTGTGTTGTTAAAATAAGAAATGTCTTATCTGTACATGTATGAGTCCTCCTGTCATTGTATTTGGCACGTGAATATTGTATACAAGGAAATGTTAAGACTGGTTACCCCTAAACAACATATATTATACTTGCTACTGGAAAAGTGTTTAAGACTTAGCTAGGTTTCCATTTAGATCTTCATATCTGTTGCATGGAAGAAAGTTGGAATCTTGGCATAGAGTTGCATGATATGTAAGATTTTGTGCATTAATAATTGTTAAAATCTGTGTTCTAAAAGTGAACATAGTATGTACAGGCAGTTTTCTGTCCTGTGCACAAAAATTTAAAAAAAAAGTTGTTTAATATTTGTTGTTGTATACCCAAATACGCACCGAATAAACTCTTTATATTCATTCAAAGAAAAAAATCCTTCAATGTGCGTTTCATTGAGTATCCATTAATGCCACTAAATATGTTAGAAGCCGGGCTAAACACTGAATTATCAATACAAGGCACTGCCCTCAGATAATCTTCAGTCTAGACATTCATATTAACATGAACACTTCCTAAAGTTTCTATTTCACCAAAGCTTCAGGTTGTTACTGAGGAGTTTTCATTCCCATTCAGTGATAAAGTCCAAATGGTATCTATGCCCTAGTATTCTGCCACTCGCAATGTCGTTTATCCTCTTTTTGTTTAAAGTCCTCGCCACCTCTGAGAGCTGAAGGAAAATGTAGCATTCTCTACTGAAATGTCTTCTCTGCAGCTCCCGAAAGCTGCCATTGTATGACAATGTATGCCTTAGAAGTAGTCAATATCTGAAGGGAAGTGTGTGAAATGATAAATCATGATTGGTGCTATTCAGGGTATATGCAAAATGGTTACCATGGTCTCAGCTACCTGCTTTTTCAAGGATAGGAGGCTGCGTGTTCCAAAGATGTTTGGACCAGATGTAGCGCAAGCTCTCAACCCAGGCCAGCTCAGCTCAGGCACCCTATGATCAGTGCCATCTTCATTCTGCCTGAGCTCTAAAGCATAAGGTGAGATGCATGCATGTGTTATGCTTTGCATTCATGAACCTTTTAAGAGTTTTGTTTTGTCTTGTTTGAGATAGGGTCTCACTGTGTAGTTCAGGGCAGCCTTGAACTCACCACAAGCCCAGACTGGTCCTGAATTCGAGGTGATCCTTTTGCCTCACCCTCCCTAGTGCGGGGATTACAGGTGTGCGCCACCGTGCCTGGCATCTTTTTAGGAGTTTTAACTTACTTTAAGTATTGGTAAAACTCACTCAACCTCCTCCCCTGTTAAGTCATACTAACTTTCAATCACTGAAGAGAAATAGTATATTGTCTTCCTTCTTCTCCAAGAAACTTAAGAGTTTGGTTACTGACTGCTTTTGTTACTGGTCTTGTTTATTCATTGTTCGGGAATACTGTGGGTTGGATCATAATTTATAAAATCAGCACTTTGGTGTATTTGAGTGTTATGGTTTATGTCTATATTCCCCCCAAAGCCTTATGCAGTCATAGGTGGGGCTTTTTTAGAGGTGACTGAATCTAGAGTGTGTGATTGATTCACGGTGCAATGCTAGGATTAAATGTGCTAAGGTTAAGGGTAGACAGAATATAAAAGGGACAGAAAGAAGCTGCTAAGATCCCTTGCTTTGCTGCATTCTGCCCACCACGAACTATTTCTCTGCAGTGCTGGTCTGCCATGCCCCCCCTCCACATTGGAGCCAGCTGACTATGGATTGAAATCTTGACAAACCATGAACCAAATAAACCTTTCCTCTCTTAACCTTAGCTGTCAGGTATTTTGTCTCAGCAATCACAAAAGTAACTAACACATTGGGAAACCTGGCATAAATAAGAAAGGATCAGAATTTCCAGGTTGAATAGTTTACTCTTACCATTCTTTTTAGCTATCTTAAGTTATTTTTAACAGAATGTTGTGTTTAAATGAACCAATACGTAAATAGAGTTCTCAAAGGAACCTCCCTGCAAGTAATACCACTTCCACAAACTGTCCTTGCACCTATACACGCAGCACACTTCAGTAGCATTCTTCATAGCAAAAAATATTAGTCTTACCACATCCTTAACAAAAGGAAACAAGATTTTGTTGTCAAGTATTTTTAAAAAACACTCTAGATACTTGATTTTCAGCCTTTTGCACACAGAAGGATCACCTGAAAGATTTACAAGATGCAGATGGAGCAGGTCTGGGGTCTGTCAAAGACTGCATTTCTAACAAGTTTCCAGGTTATACTGGAGAGCCATACTTTGGGAACCACTGTCACACACTGTTCCTTCCTCAGACTGAAAGAGTACATTAGCATATTGCATTCTAAAAAGCCCATCAGGGCTGGGGATGTAGCTCAGTGGCACAAACGCCTGCCTGGCAAGTGCAGGGTTCCCAGTTCGATTCCTGGTACCAAGAAAAAAAA